AATTATATTTAAACATATATATATGTAAACTCTTGTACTCTTTTTTTCTTTTTTTATTTTAAGAATAGCAAATTGTTTGATTATTAAAAGAAATTTCATAAATTGATCTTTCATGTTTGTGATATTCCTTGAAATTCTATATATAATTGCTAAGAAAGAAAAAAACAAAAAAGTCATTAAATTAATGAAAATTTTAGACAAGATAGAAATTTACTTATTAAAAATGAAATCATAATCAACAAATTAGAATGATATTCAAGATTTTGATAGAAGTATGTGATATAGTTTTGTTGATAATGACAAAATTATATGACTCATTGGTAATATTTTATTGAAGAGTGTAAACTTTATCAAATATAATCTCTATCAATAAAATATATTCTACATTCATTACGAATAAGTTTTACAACGATTACTTAAATATAAGTGTTACAATATTCTTTAATGGTCTAAAAATAATTTTAACAAGTAAAAAAAAAAGAACAAAGGTGAAAATTTATCTTTCCTTTACTTTTTTTAAATGACATCAAGTTTTTTTTTTTTTTGTTCGAACTGAATATACATTCATAAAACTATGTGATCGATTAACAAATGTTGTATTTATTCTCATCACAATATTTTCGAACGTGATATTGATAAGATATATAATATCAGTCGGTATTGTTCGTTTTTTTTAAAATAATCTTTCAGTAGCAAAATTTATTTAAAATTCAAAATGAATATGATACAATTTAGACAAAATTTATCCTTTCTAACTGTATAATATGTTTATGCTTGAAAAAATATTCATCGATTTAAAATAGCCTCAAGTAAAATGATGAATTCAGTCGATTGACTGGCATCGCATGTCACAATAAATTTCTACTTGTTTTATCATTATAATAAATTCATTTATAATTTATCATTACATTGTAATTATTTTTTTTTCTTTTTGAAACATAATTTAACTTTGGTTGTTTTTTTGTGTATGCGTCACCTGATAAAAACTATCCTATCAAATTACCATTGTTAATATAGATAAGAAAAAAAGTAAATAATGACCATTGGTTTTTGTTCCATTCATCATCATCATTGTTCGTTGACGATATGTCACTTTCACATTTGTCTTATGGCGACATGTGTTCTTTCTTTTACTTTTTTTTTTTTTTCAACAAAAAAATTGGAAACTATCGAAATTCCATTTTCTTCTTTCTTTTTTTATGTTAAGTTCATGATACCATAAAAAAATGACAGCAGACGAACAAATGTGGAATTCTTATTTTTTTTTTTTTAATTCCATTCTCGACATATGGCTCATATATATATATATGTTCACATTTCGTTTACACGGACTGCTTGACTTTGATAGTATGATATCCGATAAGCACACTATTCAATATTCTTCCATCTAAATATCGTCATAAAACGATATATGTCGCTTTTTTAAATGAACCAAGATACATCATATATCATAGTGACGGGTAAGACGAAGAAAAATACAAGGTTCATTAATAAGAAAAAGAAAAAAGAAAAAAAGCCCTAGAAAAAGAGAGAGAGTTCATTGTCAATGTCACAGTCAGTTGACTTCCGTACAAGCATTATGGAAAAGAACAGATGTTCAACGAGCAACTATCTAGTAATTTAATGATTATAGTTTTATGTAGAGAACGAACGACAGATGACAAAATCATAATCATTTGAAGGTAAACGAATAAGTTTTATTTAATATTTAGTTAATGTATGATTTATTGTATCTATGTTGTTTTTTTTTTTGTTTTACTTGTTGTTCACACTCTTGAAAACATGATTATAAATAAAATAAAATCTCCATATTGTTTCCGGTTGCATGCATTACTTCTCTAATTTAAAAGTTGCAATTAGCATGAAAATGTTAATCTTCTTATTTAGTATCTAATTGAAAACAAAATCAATTGAGAATAACTACTAGTCATGACATATTAATGCAAACGAGCAATCGACGAGACGAGGACGACGGCGCGTGTCCTTCACGATACTGGAAATGTCAATTTAGCTTGTGCGTGTATATATCATTGGACAAAATCTAATCTCTCTATTGACCAACATAGATTGATTAATATTAGCCTTCCTTTCTTCTTTTTCTTTCTGTATAAACGAAAATAAGCAAAAACGAGAAATGAGAAAATGTCAAATGGTCATTTTACTTTTTTTATCTCACTTTATCCATCTCTATATACACACTTCAATCAATGAAGAACGAGTTAGAGAAAAAACAGAGCATAAGTAAGTAAGTAAAAAGAAGAATGAAAGAAAAATTGATGAATGATTTGTTGTTGTTATTATTAGTGTTGATGCTAAATTATAAATCAAAAGACAACAGTTCGCGTGCCAGAGATCTCAATTTCAATTTCCTTATTTTTTTTTTTACTTTGATCTTTTTTTTTTTGACTTCGCATCTGTCTGCTTTCAATGTATGTTGACTATGAAAGATTTAACTCGTCTATATATACATATACATGTATTCTTTGCCATGCGCTTATGATCAACTTAAATTGAGCATTCGATATCCTTCATGTGAAGAGTTTCCGTCCATTTTATAATGATAAAAGCTTGATCAAGTAAGTAAAGTGAAGTGAGATCATTAGTAAGACACCTGCTCTTCTTCTCATTGATTCTCCAATGGATTTCATATATGTACGCGTCCTTGAGTACCAATGCTCATTGAAGCTTTTGTTCATTCGATTCTTTCTTTCTTTCTTTCTTTTTTTTTTCTTTGCATATTATGATATTACTGGGTTGCACGTTTGCATTGTCATTTCTTTGTCTTCTCTTGTCAGTCATACAAATCTCGATGCATATTGACTTGCGTAATATATACTTCTATTCATTGACATAATAAGATGCTCTGTGAGTATAAGAACAAGATGACTGCAAAGAAGATGAGAAAAAAATGTCACTAAGAACTCTCATACGATCTAAATAAAATAAATTTCTTCTCATTCACATCTTATCGGACATATTCAACTTGACGACATTTTAAAGATATAAACAAGAGGTGTGACTAAGTGATGATACGCCCATCAATTTCTCTGTTGACAAATAAGAAAATGATGATCGTCGTCATCATCATCATCATCGAGATCGATGTTATGTAATAAATATCTCTTTGTCTTGTTTTTTCTCTGTCTCTCTCTCTCCACCTCCTTCAATCAATAATAGTCATTGACAATTGTCGTCTGTATGGCGTAATTGTAAATATATATATATATATATAGAAGAAGAGTAATGTTCGATGACGACATGTCAGGGTTCATCTATCAACGTCTGTGATCTGTTTATTGTCAATTGACGAGTTCATCATAGAAATTCGGTAATTAGCCAAGAACGTCTTTCGTCAACAATCTAAATACATCCATATGAAAGACATTTTTCCTTCAAGGCATATACTCATCGACAATCATGACTATAGAATCTAGCATGTAAATATATGTTGTTAGTAGGGTTGATTGAAAAAATTTTTGTTGGTGATGATGATGATAGAATTTGTATAGTTGATGTTCACAATAGTGAACAGATGGAATCAATTATAAAGTCCGCTTGATGTTAGTCATGATGGTCAGTTAAATTAATGAGCTCGATTATTGTTGTCCTCGATCATTCGGACATGCTGTACAAGCAGTTGGTCACCATGGGCACTTCCGTTTTATGTTATTTCTTTTTCTTCTTTTTCTTTGCTTCATTCTTATAAAATACTGTATTATCGCATGACGTAACATTAAAAAAACTAAGTTCTCTTCCCTCTTTTTTTCTTCTTCTTCTTCTTCTTCCCACCCCTAAAGATTAGCTAGATGATTACATTTGAATCGAAACAAGAATAAAAAAAGAAAAGATTTCACCGTTCAAGAGAATGTCCTTGTTATCGTCCTAAATCGTTAGAATTATTGGACTCACGCCTTCGCTTCTATTTCCGCATTGATAAAGAAAGATAGATGCTGATTCAAATCTTCATTCTCTCAATTTTTTTTATTTCTCCTTGGACAACAGAACGCAAAGCAAGAGAAAAGAAATTTTTCTTTCTTCTTTCATTTTTGTTTCTCTTCTCTTCATCCCAATGGCGGACATTTCGTAATTGTTCAGACATTCATTCATACACTGAATCTATGTCTTATTTCAGATTGAATTAAAAGACAGAAGAAGAAGAACAAAAAAAATCTACAAGGAGAACTTCTTAATATTAACTATGGAAACAAAGTTCTCCAACGTATTATTAATGATTATACTTTATCTTTTTCAAATCGATATTTGTTCGATTATGGCCAATGATCCATCCGATTTTCGATTTGTCTCGTACAATGGTATGTATGTGTGAGAATCAACACCTTTCTTTTTCTTTTTTTGTCTATCCTTTTTACTAGACAGACTAAATCAACAATTCAATACACATACATATATATATATATGTATGTGAGATCAGTTGTATTAAAACAGGAGTAAAGATAATGATGAAAAACAAAAAAAAATAGACAGTTGAACAATATTAAAATTCTTATCAATAGACATCAATATTATCACATCATTCATATATATATAGTTATTCATTAACAAAAAAAAAACACAAAATAAAAATTCATTCGTTGTTTGTTTAAAATAAAACAAGCAACGAAGAAATATATTCTTCTATTGTCTTTATTGAATGTATGTGACAACTGTGAATGAATAGATTCTATCCTTAAAAGTTTACATTCGTCACCTGTTAAATAAAAGAAATAATTTTTGCTATTGGTTCATATAATGTTTGTCTTGCAAATTAGTCAAGAGACTCTTATAGTGTCGGCGTCATTATTTGATTAGAAAAATGAACGGCTATATTCGAGCGGAAAAAAAAAACGAGTAGACTGGAACGTTTTTGATCAAATTAGAATTACATATACTTATCAAGGAAATTTGAGTCTATCATATATCTATGTGAAAAATAGATTTAAAATGAAAGAACAGATTAAAACGTTCATTTGATCTTATTGTTTCTTTTCTTTTTTTTAGAAATGTTACGAAATATTCAAATATATCAAGAAAATGATGATAGTTTTGATGCAATTACAATTGATCGACAAAGAGATCAAATTATAATTGGAGCAAAGTAAAGAATATATATATTGTTTTCGTTTCTTGATAATTACTTGTAAATTCAGACATGTTTACTTATTGACACATTATTCTTTCTCCACCTCATGATAATAGATATGACTACTACCACCCGAAGAGCACTTTAAAGAAATTGACAAGTGAGAAAAAGGAGAGTCTGATGGATGTCAAGCATACCTTAGAGAAATAAAGCCTTAGTAAAATGATGACCGAGGAGCTAATTATATCCAAAACATACAATACTTTTGTTGACACAGGAACATATTGAGACAGGGATAGGCATCAAATTGCGTTTTATTTTTCGAAGCCACGCCAAAATAAACTGATCTAATCAATGTCTGATCAAAAATTCAAATAATATTAATAAATAATTTTGTTTGTTTGTTTGTCTCGTGTTAAATTTTAGAAATGCAATAATTCGTTTATCTATTAATAATTTTCATTTATTGGAAAAATTTAAATGGGAATCATCAACAAATGAAATAAATATTTGTCGTAGTCAAATTCAATCATTTGTAATATATTACCTTTTTGTTTTTTTTGTAAATTTTATTTGATTTTTATATAGAATCAATGTGAAAATTATATTCGTGTATTAGCTTTACGATCACATGATCAATTATTATTAACATGTGGTACTAATGCTTATCGTCCAATTTGTATGTGGCGTCGTCCAGATTCTTTATCAACAATAATTTCAAATGAAAATTTTATTTCTGGTGATGGAAAATCTCCTTATAATAGTTATTTTCCATCAACATATAATTTAATTGATACTGGTTTGTGTTTATTTTTATACAAAAATTAAACGAAAACATAGAAATAATTTCGATGGATTTTTTTTTTAGGTGAATTATATTCAGCAACAAGTAATGAACCAGTATTTGGTATAAATGATCCATTAATACAAAGAAGTTTTAGTCAAGGAAAACAATTACGAACACAACAACATGATTCAAATTGGTTAAGAAGTATGTTTTTTGTTTGTTTGTTTCATTCTAAATATATAGATTTCGTTTCTTCTTTTTAGATCCATATTTTATTCGAATATTAAATATTGGTTCATATGTATATACATTTTTTCGTGAAGTTGCTCTTGAACATTTATCATGTGGAACAGTAAGAGAAAAAATGAAACTTTGTTTTTTTTTTTTTTTTTGTTTTTAATTAGACTGTTTATTCTCGTGTTGCTCGTATATGTAAATATGATGATGGTACAATGAAATTTAGTGATACATTTCGTTCATTTTCAAAATTACGTTTATTATGTTCAAAAAAACTTTCTAATGATATTAGTTCATTTGATTATAATGAATTACAATCGATTTTTTTTGATCATACAACAAATTTAATTTATGGAGCTTTTAATTTACCAAAGTAAATTAAATAATAAATAAATAAATTTTTGTTTTTTTGAAAGAAAATCTTAAAGTATAGAATTAGTCTCTTCTCTCCTAACAAACATTGTTTATATACGATCACAGCAGTCTAGGACAGTTGCTTACAAAGTATAAATTAAGAAGAATATATAATTACAAAAGTATGATTGATAATATTATGCAAGATTAAATAGAGAACAATAAAGTAGAATGTAGATAGACTCGCTCATACACGCCCATCTAGCCGTTTGTAAATAAATAAAGTTACGTTTTAAAAAAAAATTGTTTGATATATTAACTAACATAATTACTACTTAGGAAATTACACTAGCTGATATAATTATGTATATTTGTTTCGTTGAATACAAAATTTTCATTGTAGAAGAATCATCAATTTGACCAAACATTAAAAGAATTAAATCAAATAATATATGATGATCAGTCTTTCACATTATATTTCTCTATTTTGTTCAAAATTCTTGTAAAAATTTACATAGGGAAAAAGTGTCGGCACCATATGTCTATGTGAACAACTGTTCGTTTCTTGATGACAGACTATATATCAATAGCATCTCATTATAATCTTTGAAAGATTAAATAAAATGATGAATGAAGAAATCTGCTTCAAACTAGAATGAATTTCTGTCATGATTAGCACGAGCAGTTATCTCATGTTTTGACATTTTAATCCTACTAGGATTGCGGTAACAGCTAGTTTTTGTTTAGAAGTGGTTTATCTGGATCAGCTATATGTATATATAAAGTTGATGAATTACAACGTGTATTTACATCACCATATTTAACACAAAAATCAAATGAATCATATTGGTTACCATCAACATTAAAACAAGAATCAGAAAAAGTAAATTGAATTATATTTTAAAAAAAAAAAAAACTTTTTTTTTGTTTTTGCTTTGATTATCTTTAGTGTGAACCAAATCAATCAAATGAAAATTTAATATCATCAGGACCAATTCTTCGATCAGGTGTACTTTATTCATCATATGATCCATTTATATTAGATAATATTCGTATTGGACATTTATTAATTAATAATTTTAATGATATAACAATTTTATTTGTTATTACTTTTGATAGTTTAGTATTAAGAAAATATTCATTAATTAATAAACAATTATGTTTAATTGAACATATACAATTAAAACCAATAAATATTCCAGAAAATCAATGGAAAATTAATAAAGCTGAATTTATCTTAGAAACAGTAAAGATTTTTCTTTTTATCAAAAAATAAAAAAAAGAAAGTCTTTCTTTTGTTTTTCTTATAGAAAGAGATCATAATGACAACAACGATATCAGTAATAAAATTATCTGTTGCACGTTGTGATCGTTTTAATACAAGTAATTTATGTTTATCTGCTATGGATCCATATTGTACATGGGATAATAATCAACAACGATGTATTCTATATACAAAATCACCATCGACATTTTCTTCTTCACGTCCATTATTTACATGTCCTATTCTTAATACAACAAGTATGTGTTTATTAATATTAGAGATTCTTTTTTTTTTTTTTCTTTTCTATTTATTTGTATATTATTTATTCAGTTGATGGTGGTTGGAGTTCGTGGTCATCATGGTTTATATGTGAACAAGTAACAGGTGAAAAATGTCAATGTCGTACAAGAACATGTACACAACCAATACCACAATTCGGTGGTCGATTATGTCAAGGATTAAATGTTGAAATAAATCGTTGTGAAGGTTAAATAAATAATAGAATGATAATGTTAGTTTTTAACTAACATTATTATTTTGTTTTTTTTGTCTAGTTCATGGTGGTTGGTCAACATGGAGTGAATGGAGTATATGTCCAAAAACATGTGGAAAATCATTTCGATCAAGAATACGAACATGTACAAATCCTGAACCAAAAAATAATGGTCGTTTATGTATTGGAACTGAACGTGAAGAAGAATTATGTCCAGAAATAATCTGTTCCGATCAATCATTACGTTTAAGTTCTTGGACGGGTAAAAAAAACATTTTGTTGAATTCTTAGTTAAATTACTTTTAATTTGTATAGATTGGGATACATGTTCAAATATATGTGGTGGTGGAATACAAAAACGAAGAAGAACATGTTTGATTAATGAAGATAAATGTTCCGAATGTTTAGAAGAAACACGTTTATGTAATGAATTACCTTGTCCAAGTATGTTTATTATCAGAAGAAAATTTCTTATTTGAAAAATAATACATTTTTGTGAACAAATCTTTCCTTACTTTTAATATCTCGAGTAGCATTCATATTATAGGTTGGAAAATTTTTGTGTGCATATTCTACTAAGGATGTTGGTCGGAGTTGATTATTTTTTTATGAAACGAAAATTACATTAGATTGAGCTTCGTCTTTAATTATGGATTCATAGAAAAACTTTGAACTAAAAGAAAAATGTTATGCGAATATAGTGAACTTAGAGACATGTCGAAACAGTCATTTTCTATTAAATTATCTGATCATCGCAGTACAAAAAGAAAAGAAGAGCATCTACAGGATTCTATATGCATGCTAAAATATCAAGAATTAATCATGTACTTGATAGCAATCAATCTATTTTAGACTAAATGTTTGAAGGAAAAATAGGCATCGTTCTTCATAAATATGGTAGTATTAACGTAATCAAGGTGACTTTATACGGCTGAACTAAATTCTTAGGGTAGAATGTACACATAAATTTTCAAACGTTCAACATGTACGATAGAACTCTTTAAGTTTTCCAAAATAAATCTATGGAACACATTTCGTATGTGTATTATATTAGTATAAAAATAAAAGAAGAAGAAAAAAAAAACTAATGTTTTTGTTTTAGTTCAAGAAGTAACATTATGGAGTGATTGGACACCTATATTAAATCCAAGAAATGATGGTCTTATTAATGAAAAACGTACACGTTTTCAATGTAAAATTGATTCATCATCTGGTCAACAATTACCAGAATTAAAATCAGATACAATTATGTATCGAGTATGTAATAATCAAGAAGGAATTAATTGTCAAGAAACAGGTACATTTTTGATATAATTTTATTTTTTTCTTTTTAATAACAATTCGATTTTTAGATTCTTTAGATAATTTAAATATTGATAATTGGTCATCATGGTCAGATTGGAGTGGTAAATATAATAATTATTAATTAAAAATAAATCATAAATAATGAATGTTTGTTTGTTTGTTTTATTCTTATAAAAGATTGTTATCCAGGTTGTGATATATCTGGTTCAATTGAAACTCGTCGTCGTACATGTTTAGGAAAACATTGTTTAGGAAATGATATTGAAAAACGTGAATGTTTATCTTGTATATCATTTAAATCAAGTAATTGGTCATGTTGGACAGATTGGTCAGAATGTTCATTATGTCAATCATCTAGATTACGTTCAATAAAATATCGTACACGTCAATGTCTTACAAATTCTTGTCAAGGTGAATTACGTGAAGAACGTTTATGTTCAACATGTCCATTATTATTAAAAACATTTCCATTAATTGATTCATTTAATGAAAATCGTTTTACATTAATACATATAATAGTTGTTTGTTTAATATCATTTTTATTTGGTTGTCTTTTAATGATATGTATTATAATTATATGTCGTTATCGTCGTCGTCGTCATCATTCTCATTCTCATTATAGACATAGACAAACATCAAATACATTTCTTCATACAGATGATCGAGATTATTTTCAAGCATCAACATCAAATTCATCATCAAGTCCACATACAGCACAAGATTCTGATACATTTACAACATTATCAAATACAAATAATCATACAAATAAATTTCGAAGTTTTGATTCATCATCATCATCAACAAATGGTGGTGGTGGTGGTGGTGGTGGTGTTAGTGCATTTCTTAAAGATATTCCATCAAGAAAATTAAATATGTATATTAATCCAAGAGAAATGCCACCATTACCACCAGCAGCAACATTAAAACGAACATCATTAATGTCATCAATGAAAACAAATCTTGATGCTGATGATCTTTAGTTATCAATAAAAATTAATAATAAAACTAATTTGTATTTCAAAGAAGAGTCATTCGTTTGTTCTTTTTCTTTTTTTAAATAGTATCTGTGATATAATATTCTTGGCTGGTCCAGTTTTCCTCTATTCTAATTGTATTCATCTTCATTCTTTTTTTTTTCTCAAGGTGTTGTTGGTTTTCTTTTTTGTATTTTTGTTTATCGTTTATTGTTTTTACAATACCAAAGAACTAAATGTGTTTGTATAAGTCGAAAATGAATTTCATATAGAAAATTTATACAAAATAAAATATACATACTTTGAAAAAATAATATAAATCAATTGATTAAATGAAACAAAATAATGTCTGCAAAAATTTGTGGCTTTATAATGTGAATGGGATCAATCGTTGTTAGTTATAGTCAGTCATAGAAAAAATTTTAATTCTAGTTGCTTACAAAATGATGTATATGCACTAGAGAAAAATGCGATATTATTGTCTAGCAGTGTCAATGCGTACAAACTATCTCGCATGAGATCTGGAGATTCATTACTTTTCGTTAATGCAGTAATACTTTGTTTATTTTGCATGTTTATGTGTTCGACAACTCTATTCACGAAAAAAGAAAAGGATTAATTTTACTATTGAAATTAAGACAGCAAGGATTGAAGTGATCGTTATTTCAATTATTTTCTCATGAACTATTAGAACATAGAGTCGTGAGAATATGACATTTGACGCAAATTTCATACGAATATAAAAGATATTACTTTCAATGAAAGTGTTCGTTCAGACCTCAACAGGATTAGAACCATCTTTTTCCATAACTAATGTAACTATAACTTTCGATACTCTTTTCATCCGCATCTTGATCGATGATTAGAACAAAACAAAAATAAGAATACATTTCTGATATAATATAGATGGTTAATATAAAGAATTAATATTTATTTCATTGAAATATCTTTGTTTTAATTATTGAAATAGAATTTAATTAATAAAATATCTTATTTATAATCTTATTTCTAATAATAAATGAACATCTCAAATAAATTCTATGACAAAAAAAAGGGATAATGTCAAGTACAATCTTTATTACAGAAAAACATACAGACTCTAATCCAATTGATATTCATTTGTTACAATTTTTCAAAATTAGTGTACTTCATTTATTAAAAAAATCGTATTTGACGTGTACTCATTTGAACATTTGTCATAGAGTAGTTTTGACTGATATTCATTATTATTCGATAAAAACCTACGTTATATGTTGTTCGAAAACATTTATCATTAAATAGAATTTGAAATGATTCTATCTCGATTTTATATATTGATATAGCAATTTTTTCATGTGTGTCATTCATTGGTGAACTTTATTTTATTATGGAATGATTGATATTTATCTTTTGAAAGAATTCAATGATGAAAAGCGAGTGTCTGTCAAAGACATGAACGTCTCCAAATCAGGATCTGACATCATCAGTGGATTGAGCTTGTCGAGATGATCCTACATACAACTATATATTTTACTAGTCAGTAGGTCAATTTGACCTAGACACATATTCAAAATATAAGCCTTTCAAATTTTAGCCTTAGAAAAATAGAAAAGATGTATTTTCTTCGTTTGAAATCTTATAATGGAATTTAGCATAGAGTTCATGTGAACGTGTTCAATCGATCTCTATTATCATTTTGATTTTTGCTCTGCTGTACTGATATCTATGTTATATTTCTCCTCTTTCGACCTCTTCTTTTCTGAGCATCAAGTCTCAAATTGTTGTTCAAGATCGTGTTGTTTTTTGATAGAAAGAAAGTATATGATGTTGATGCCAGCGTGTATGATATGCTGTACTGCTAAATTTAGTAACTGATAATCAATCTTGATTTGACACGTTCATACGCGCTAGATGCAAAATTCAATCATAACGCTTAAAATTGAGAAAATTCATTCCTTCTATTCTTCTACAACTAACAGATAAAAGTCTAATATTTTGAGTATATGTCTAGATCGAGTCAACCTACTCACTGGTAAAAGAGATGAATATTCATAAGTGTTCGTAGAATTGATTCAATGAATTCAATCTATTGATAGTATTAGTTCTCACTTTAGAGGTGTTCGTGGATGTTCACCTCTTTGACAGACACTCATGGAATTTAGTTGTTTCTAAAAGAAAACAATATGCTGGTCATGTGCACATAATTTCATACTTTGGATACATCAAGATTGATAAATAGTATTAAAAATTTTCTATTATCTCTTTTTTTTTAATTATAAGCAATAATTGAATACTTAGTAACATGAATAGTTAATTTAAAATGAAATACAAAACAAAATTTTCGACTTTTTCTGTTGTTTTATTAGCGATCATCATTAGTAGACAATAAATAGATTTTCAATTGATAAAAATACATCGAGACTTCGCAAACCTTATTGTCAAGTTATCTTTGATTAAATCTATTTCATATATAAGTAGTTAAAAAAACTTTAGTTTTTCATATTTAGTATTTATTGAATAGTCATGATATATATGTTATGTGTTTTGTGATTTCATTTTTTTTTACTAAAGATGTTCTGATTATGAGATACGATGTTTATGGTTTACAGATTTATTGATATATCAATTGAATATTTATTTACATTGTATTGCTGATGATCAGTGATAAAACAATAGAAAAGAGAAAAAAAATTCTATTTTGTATTTAATATTAAATAAACTATTTATATTACTATGTATTCTATTATTGTTTACATTCTGTTTTTTTCAAGTTATCTTTCTAAAACATTATCGATTATATGTTTCAGCAATTCCTCTTGTCAAAAAGATCATAATGGACTTTTTTTTTTCTATAAAACTATGCTCAATGAAAAAGAAAAGACATAATATAAGACTAGATACAATAGTACAATAAACATAAATTTTGAAATGAGTAATAATAAAATCTTTTGATGCCTTGTTATTGTTATAAATATGTTTTTTTTTCCAAGAGAAAAATCATTCCTTTTGTTTGTCATTTGTTCGTTCGTTGATTAACTTGTTCACATATTTACTTTTTACAGAATAAATATTTGTTGGTTTTTCCATTGTTGATAATTTCATTTTATAATTAAGAGAAAACTTATATTTGATAAAATCTTCTACTATTAATAGTTTTATTAGTTAATTTTTAAAACATCTATTAATTTCAAATTGTAAAATGAAAAAAAAATCAGATAATGATTTTCTAAAAAAAAAAGAAATTCTATATGTGTACAGTAATATTCATATCTTACAATTTACTTTTATGTTTCTGTTTCTTCTTTTTATCAAGAAAATTGACATCAGAAATATGAGAATAGTCGAATATTTACTCAATTAGAAGTTATACGAACCCCTACATATTAACATTTTTTTTTTAGATCGACAACGAATGCAAAACACATACAAAAAACAAAAGCAGGTACAATTAAAACTCAATAGGCAAACGTATTCCACTGATTTTTTTTTTCTCCTTTACCGTTCTGTATATTTTTGATGGATGCGTGTGGCAATACAAAACTCATATATCAATAGTTGAATTTAAAGATTAAGAAAGCAACGAGTAGCAACAAGTGCCTCTTTCTCTTTGTTTACAGAATAAGTAATCAAATAGTAGAAAAAGAGCATAACAGAAGAAAGAAAAAAAAAAAAAAAGACGAAAGTCATTATATTGAATTATAAACAAAAAAAGATGCATGAAAGTTCTAATGGATTCATGCTTAATCATGATGAAGTAAGTTTTTAAAAGATAATAATTTAATTCTTTTTTCATTCAATTCTTTTATATAATTAAATAGCAAACACGTTCTTATACGGGTATGAATAGTGTTATTCTATCACAACAAGCAAGTCGATTTTGGTTACCTTTTGATGTTAAACTTTTTGAAAGTAAATTTTTAACTTCTTTTTTTTTATTTTATATTAATAATTATATAAGAAATAAAATTACTTTCATAGCACTTACACCAAGAGAATATTTGGAAAAATATTGTCGAGTGAATAATCGTCGACATGCATTGTACAAACGTATTTTTGACAAACATAAAGATAGTGAAGGAGAACTAAGTGTTAAGGTAAAAAAAACTAACAAACAACTGTTACAAGATTTTATAACATGAAGAGCAAAAATATACTTGAAAAATGAAACTATGTGAAGAATTGTGTTTTGTTATAAATTCTTGAATGTTGATCGGTTTTTTTTCTTCTCTTTCTATTAATTTAAAAGAATATTTTTTTTGAAAATATTTAGGCTCTTCCAGATGCTTTATTGGATTCATATATGCGTACAATTGATTCTCATTTTATTTCACAAGTAATTGGCCTTCTTGATTTATCATCAAATGCAAAAATAACTTTTGCACAATTTGAAGGTATTGCTGCATTTTCTGAACGATATTTTTTTAATATTTTTACGTATGTTTTAATTTAATTTAATTATTATCTTTAATAATATTTTATTTTTTATTTAATTAGTCGACAAGATAATATGGAACCACAATTACAAAAAGAAATTTTAGAAAAACTTGATTTTTCTTCATTAAAATGGAAATTAGTTGGTGTAAATATTTCATCGTCATTGCGACAAATTCTACGACTTCTTTAAACTTGACAATTTCTTTTCTTTATTTTTATTTTGTAATAATAAATAAAATATTATATACAATGTTTTGAACATTGCCGTTTTTCTCCAAGAATAATCTTCAACTGAAAAAATAAAAGCATTTAAATTAAAAATAAATCCTATTACAACTAATCTTTTTTTTTATGACAAAGGACTGATCAAAAGTTCTGATAGACGTTCTTAGAAAATATATTAAAGAATTCAATGCATCAATAAATACTAGGATAATTACACCCGATAGCTGAACATTTGACAAATGAGTATGACATAAGGAACGATTTAAAGAACTATAAGAAAATAATTTTATTTGAATAAGTCCATATTGATGTAAAAATTATTTAAAAATTACTTTAGAAGTTGGTGCATGAATATTGTTTGTTACTTTAGTACATTTTATACTATCGAAACAGATAAGAGTCGTACGTTTATTTTTACAAGAGCGCTAAATGGATTGGGATTTATTGACGTGTCAATAGGAAACATCATCTAGCAGATGTTGATCCTTATCTTTTATAAATTTTACAATTGTCATTGTATAAAAATAATCACTAGAATGAGACAAACAATGATGAAGATTGGATAAACAAATGAATTAGCTCAAGATAAAAATAATCTCTAATAATCAATCAATAAATTTGAAATTTAAAAAGAATTACAGACGATTTAAGTTTTCGTATAAACCCCCGGACACATTAGAAGACCCCCACCCCTGTAGTAGAGATGGCCCTCCCTTGAATCAACGAAGCGAAGGATAGATGAGAAGACCCACCCATCTCCTCTGACGATCCCCTTAGAAGCAGGTGAGCAGGTCCTCTAATCTATCCTTTGGGTTGTTGATTCAAGAGAGGGTCATCTCGACTATAGGGGTGGGGGGTCTTCTAATGTGTCTGGGGGTTTAGCTCAGACAAGTTTCTTTATTTTTTCGATTACAAAATTCTGCAGATAAATAGCACGTGATATTTATGTAAATACATTCACATATATGTTATTTACCAATATCTGAACGTTAGTTAATCATTTTTAGGCGATGATAATTAATATTTATTACATTTAATTTAATGAACAAAAGTCATTCAATTAATTAACAATAACTCTATCAGGACGAAGAATTTCAACAATAATTGAATGTTTATCAATATCAAATGATGATGATGATGAAGACGACAAACTTTTAAAAAAATGTGTATTTGTTATATAGATAGATTTCTTTGATTATTTGCTTCTCCTTTTGTTAATAATGAATTTGTTCGATTTCTATTTTCTTCTCTTGGTTTAACATTGTGAATGTTCTCCATATCTACTCTTTGCACATAATATGATCTGGAATGTATTTTTTTTCGCACTTATCTTTTACTTTTTTCGTGCATTTTATTGCAAGTTTATACTAAGTATGAAAAAGTGACGGCAGAATGTAATTATGCTAACATGTACAGAGGCTATGCCTGAATCTCAAGGAACAGAAAGGAGTTTCAAGAAAAAAAACAGACCGACAAGGGTTAAAGAATAAAAGAACCAGCCAAGAATTCCGGAACAAAAGAACCTTATTGATACAGCAGTTCTCGTGTAATTATCTGAGACTTTCTCTGCATAGACGTTACTACAAAGACAAGATCTGTTTTTTTTCTCTTTCTGACAAGAATCTTACGTTGAAATGAACGTAAAAAGAACCTTAACTGACAGGCAACAAAAAAAAAACAAACACAAAAATCTCAAAAGAATAATGACAAACACGTTGACTAATGGAAGATTATGTTTTGACATGTGAGATTTATGTATAATACTTCTTTCTTTAACTTGGAGCTATTCATCCTCTACTTTTACTAATCATTATAAATTATGAATGTTCATGATATGTTTACAAACAGACGATCTAATTAATTACATATTGAGTTTCTGTTATTTTGTGAAATAAGATCCAATTTTTTATCAAATAGTAGAAGAATATGAAAAGACTTCTAGAATTAATAGAATTTAACGTATGATCTCGTCGACTTACAAATAGATTTCTTAGATTCACAATGTGAAACATCAGTCAAAAAATACGTCATTTAAAGTATTGATTTATGTTGTTAAAGTTTATATAATGAGTATGTCGAAAATTTCTAAACAACATATTTAACTGTTTTTTTTCTGCGTATTTAAATGCATTGTTAGTGTATTCAAATGATAATTTTGTCTTTTTTGTAACTTTTGATTATAAGTGAATCTTGAAAAAAAACGAATAAATTTTTTTATGATGGAAAAATTTCAAGTTGAACTTGTTCAAGATGATATGTCACAGAATTTTATTGAATGTACTAGAAGATATAGAAAATAATTCTCTACAAAGTGGTATATTTGAATAAAATATTTTGCAAATTGTTGAGGTGCAGTAAAGACTATTATTTTGTAGCAAATTAACCCAAACTCTTCATTCTTGCATCGTTTTATCGTGTAAATATGATCCTCGAGGACTAAATATTGCCAATACTTATTTGGTGTGTACGGGAAGCAGACGCATCTTTAGAAAAATAAGATTTTTGTCTCTCAAAAATGTTTTTTTTTTTGAGTCCTGTTTAGATTTATTTATAGCTGAATAATCAAAAGTCACAGAAAAATTCTCATCATATATTCTAAAAGAGTATAAAAATTCTTATTCTAATATCCTATCAATATATTTATATATGCGAATAACAATTAACTATTTTGCCTAGAAAATTTCGACTCACTTTCTTACATATATATTTGATTAATGATAATTTCATCTTGAAATATTTGTATGGTAATTTTGTTTTCAGTTCCTGAATTAGTAGATTATCCTCAATCATTTATATTTTAAAGAAAAATAATTTTCGGATTAAAATAAATCTTATTAGTTGAAAGCATTAAGAATTTCTCAATGTTTTCTTATACGTATATTTATAAAGAATTTAAATTGTAATAGTAAGATAATGATTTAATTTTTCTTCAATTCAATTCTAATAATTAAACTATAAGATATTTTGTCACGTTCTCATATTTACTTATCTGTTTATTTTTGATTAATGTCTTATTACTTTTTAATCTATCTAGAATTGTGCATAAATCTAAACTTCTTTTTCGTTATATACAACAGGTTTCGATAAATCTGTCTGTAGACATTAACATATATCAATTTGAAAAAGTTAAACTGATGATGACGAATTGAGTAAATTTCTTTTGTTGGATATTGATTTTTTTTTCAGTATAGATTTGAAATGAAGAGAAACCATATAATATTTTCAATCACAAAAGTCTTGTTAATAAAATCGTTGTTTTACTTTATGACTCATTTATTACAATATGTCAGTGTTTTGTTTTGTTGACAAAAAAAAAAAGAAAGATATGATGAAGAAGATAACTGTTTCAATGTAAAAACAATAAATATATCTATTTCATGACAGAAAAAAACCTAACATAGTTAAATATGGCTGAACCAAATATAGATGATACGAGTCTGATGAGAATATCAAGTATAGATGAACAACAACGTCATCCTCGAGCAATTCTTCAAGCAACTCCATCAATAATCAGTTCTGATGGTATTAGTTTACCTGGTAGTATTCTTGATATTCTTGATCGTATATATTCAAGTCGAGCTCATCGACGATGTATGGATTTAAGTTATCTTACATTACTTGCAATGACATTAGGAGTTGTTTTTTGGATATCTTATTGGTTAACATCTAATCGATGTCACAATTTAAAAGATCCTCAAACAAATTCATCTCTTTGTAATGCTGTTATTCTTTTTGAAGTAATTACAATAATATCAGTTTGTATTTCACCAATTTTATTAATAATTACGATTTATTTTTGGATACAATATTCATGTTCTAATCCATTAGATCCAATTCGAGAAAAATATCTTGAATTAAAATTAGAAAATAATCAATGGAAACAACAATTAAATTATTATTTTCATCAAAAGAAAACTAAATATTCACATTGGTGTTATCGTAAAAAAGAAAGAAAGTTAAATGATCGAGGTTATGGTTATATTATTTTATCACCACATGGAATTGTTCTTGATGAATTATTACTTTTAAGTGCTCGAAATGATATTGTTGATGATGGAACTATATTTCCTAATGAAAAAATTTTGAAATTAAGTTTTAAAAAAACTTGTAGAAGACCTTGGAAAATTTATCTTTCAATTTATTTACCTGAAAATTATGTTGAACAAGGCTATATGGAAAAGTTAACGCAATTATTAAAAATTCAAATCAATATTGACAATAGTCAACCACTTCGTCCTTGAATATTCATTTTTTTTTTTTGCTACTGAGTAATCGTTATATTACTTCATTATAAAATAATTATTTCAATAGCTTCTTTTTTTGAAACCTCTATGAATAAAGTAAACCCCCCCACAGACTAGAAGCCCAGGTGGGTGCCTCTGTTTCGCAAGCTATAACTTTGTAACAAAGCATGTCCCGGTGCTAGTTTTTTACGTTGTTCGATAGAGAAATGTTCGTTTTTGCATTTTTCATAAAGTGAGTCTTGATTTTCAACGGAGAATTCTAACCCAGGGGTGGGCGTCTATTGTGTGTGGGGAGGGGTTACTCATTTTAATATCATCCTAAGGGATTAAACTTATCACGTTTTTATGTTAATGCATCTTTATATTTTTCTATAATTTTAATAGACTTAAATAAATCAATGTTCCGTTCATGTGTACAGATGAGAAAAATATTTAATGGTCTCAACAGAAAATTTCAATGAATGCATATCTTTCTGTCTAAGTACTAAAATCAGCAGCAGCAACATTCATCTTGTGTGAATAATTGTCTACTTATTAGTTCACACTTCATTGATTTAAGAACATATTAACCTTGAATGAATCATTTCTCTTTTAAGAAATAAAATGTGATATAAACCTTCAAGCATATATAAAATATGTTATTAAAAGAGTATGAAATTTAATTTCACATACGCGAAAACATTGACAATAGCCAGAATATCTGTTAGTAAACAATAGTAAGAAGAAATCTGATAAGTTCAAGGTTACATCGACATTAAAATATACAATGATAAAAGAAAATTTTCGAATAATTATTCAAATCAGAACGTCCTTGCTATTCAAAAGTAAAATTATTAAGTCAATGAGAATGAAAACAAAGAAATCAGAAGTATAGTTTTAAAAATGAATGATTTCAAGAGTCGTAAAAATGAGTTTAATTGACAGAACATTATGTTTATGACAAGTTTATTTTTATCATTGCATGGAATTGATCAATTTTCTACTCAAAACTAGAGCATTTAAAAGAATATCAAACACTGAATGACTTGAAAAAAATTTTTTTCTGAAAATTATATAGCATTGATGGCTCATTCGGATGTATTAGTTTAGAAAAAAAAAATAATTAAGAATTATTACAAACATAATATCATCTCTATGATAAAGTAAGGATAATTTCATTCATTCATTTAGATTTTATTCTCAAAACACAACAAGAAGTCTTTTTTTGTTTTTTATTTGAGAATAAAAATTTATGAAAAATCTTCTTTTTTTTTTTTTTCAAGAAGTAAATTTGTTCTTTTTTCCTCTTTAATTAAAATCAAAGAAGACTCATCTATAGAATCAGGTCATATTTCAACCAAGTAGTTCTTCATACGCAATACACTATTTTTTTCTCGTTTAGTTATTCACCGTCAAGTATTTTCCTTTTGAATGTTCATTTTGTTGATACCTACTAAAATAATCTTGTCCCTCTTTTCTTCTTCTTGTTTTTCCTCGATGTCGATATTTTATATGAGTAGTTAATTGAGTTGGTTTCAGCTTTTCTTCGGCCAAATTCAGAAGCAAAAAACATACTGAATGATAGAAAGTTAATCAATAGATTTTTTCTCGTTAGTTTTTTTTTTTTTGCTTGTTAAATAGGAAAAAGAAAAGAAATAAGAAACTAAAGAAGAAATTATCACGACTATGTCTTAATTTACATCGGATATGGCTTGTAAATCTACCAAAAGGAAAGATGAACTCATTATTTTATTCGTTTTCAGTCATCCGTATTTTCTTTGAATTACAAATGAAAAATAAAAAGAAAGAAAGAAAAACGAAGCTATACTGATTATCTCTTGTTTTTTTATATCGATTGTTAATAACGAATATTTTTCAAAAATTTTCTTGTTTTAAATTTCAAATAAATCTTTTATTTCTAATTTTTTCTCATTACTTGATGATTAGTGTGTTTTTTACATCCGTCAGGTTTTTGTTTTCTTTTTTCATAACGGAAGTTGATTATATGTCTCATTCTCTCTTTCTCTCTCTCTTTCCTTCTCTTTCGCTTCATATATATATATACATATATAACTCTTTAGCTCATTTTTCATTGTTTTATTTTTCTGTTTGAAAAATGGTTTTAGCCGGTGCAAATTCAATGAAGTTATTTGATGGATTGAAAAAAAATGACAAATATTGAGAATACAACTAAAATATTCATTCAACAATCTTCATCAGAATCATCGGATGATACATATAATGATAATAAGGATATTATATGGCCTTCAGTTGTTGGTATTTTTGTAACATTAGCCTTAGGGTGGATGATATGTCGTTATAAATGTTCATCAAAAGAACGATCACCCCATAGTGTACGATGTTGTCCAAAATCATTATGTAAAAATATTCGATTATGTTTTATGTATATATTCGGGTATTGAATTATAATTTACTGTTTGATTTTTTGGTCTATTAATAGAAAAATCAATTTTTATTTAGAATGAAACATGATCAACAACTAGATCTTGATTCACGCATATCAACAAATATTAATAAATCAAGGTAATAATCAAATAAATCATAATTTTATTATGTTACTATATTTATTTATTTTTTTAAAAGAACATCTGCCTATAGTTTACAAGAAATTCCATTTCTTGTTGATTATTCATCAACGAATCGTCCATCTTTGTCACAAGTACATCAACAATGGCCACCACCATTTACTCTTAATCAGTCACCTTCATTTCCTTTATCAATAACAGTTCAACCAACACCAGCACCAACAACATCTCAACCAAAAAGACATCCATTACGTCGTGAATCTACATTACCTGGAGTTAATAATGAGAGACGAGAGTCATCCTTGTGGCCATTTCGTACGCTTACTGCTGTATTCCATAAACAAACAAGTGAAATTAAAGACAACAATCTCTTTCTTAGTTCTTGAACATATGGTCTTTCTATGATTCACTCATCACTTTTCAACTCATATTTTAGCATGTAAAAATTGTCTCGAGACTAGAATAACTTCAAAAGGATTTTAGTATATTAGTTTTCTATACAAATTTACAACATTTTTGATAGATTTTAATCAAAAAAAACGAACTATTTGACAGGAAAAAAAATGAATATTTGATGTTTGATGTCAAAGTTTATTATCATCATTGTAAAACTATCCTAAACAGTTTCATTTAAAAGTTGTTGATTTGTTTTTTGATCCTTGCTGATATCAAATCATTATTTTAAATACTTTAGAAATGGATCAATAATTTTTACTCAAATTTTTACGATAGTCTCAGAATACTGTTAATTACTTATAGAATAAATTTTAAATCAAACGTTCTATATGCGTTTTTTTTGCTTCTGTCAATACTTCGTTCCTTTAGTTAAAATTCATTTAAATTATTGTAAACTTGTATAGCAAATCTATGTCTTAAAATTCTTTTGAAGTCATTCAAATCTCGAGATCATTTGCTAATTACTTAAAATATGAATTCAGAAACTAAGAATAACTTTGAGTAATTCTACGTTAGCTGTTGTTGTTTTTTTTATTATTCATATGAATTGATTGAACATAATTAACGAAAATTACAATATAGTATAATATATAAATACTAAAGTTCATTAATTTTAATTATCAATATTATTAACGAAACAGAATTTATTTTTTCATTTATTTGATAAAAGAAAATCAGAAAAATGAATAACATGAATTTATTTGTCAATGATTTCAACAAAAAACAAACATTGACCAAACAGTTCATGTTTTATTTAGTGTTTCTTTTTTTGAAGTAATGATATAAAACTCTGCAAAGACAAGTTCCTATTTTTTCGAGCATAGATTTATAATATATAGTACAATAACACCAAATTTTTACAAGAACTAGCTCTGTTTTTGTAGGAACATCGCCTCTCGGATCCTCATGCTAGATGAAACACTTCAAAGATTGATTCATTTTCAATAAAACAAAACAAAAAAGGTAGATACATATCATAATAGAAACAAAATTCTCTCTTTCCTTTTTTTTCTATGAATAACAAATGATTAATAAAATTTTTTTGAAAACCATAATTACATCATTGAAATTCACAACTGGAAAATATGAAATCTATGTTGTGACATTTTTAAAGTAGACCACTGAAGATAATTGACACTTTCTCACTACATGTTTTTCTCAATAGAAAATACTCAACAATATAAGCAGATAAAAAAAACTCTAATCGCTTTCACAACACGTTTAGTTCACCATTCTAAAATCTTAGATCTACAAATGATAAATCCATGATATGATGACAAGAAAGAAAAAAGAATTTTGTTCTTTTCAAATGATTTTATCAATTGATAAAGGCTAAATTTTCACATCATTTTATGATCTTAACATTTTTGAAAAGAGCAATATAAATTATTTTTTTAGTGTATGAAATTACTTTTTTTTTTTGCATTGAATCGATCAGATTCCATCAATGTATGATAGTGGTCGCTAGTCGATGATAAAATTTCGAGCAAACAAATTATGAAACTTTTTTTTTCTTAAGATGTTTATGCTTTTGTGAAGTCATTTGAAATGAAATGACTATATGAATAGAAAAATAGAAGATTTTGATTAATAATTTTATTGATTATTAACAGACCAATTATATATCTAAGAAAAGTAAATATGACATTCGAAGGATACGTACTTTTTCTTTCTTTTATTTATTGACATTGAATTTATCGGAATAAAATAATATGAATTTCTACATCTGATATATATAACTATGAACAATGATAAATGATGATCAAGTAAATAAATTAGATTTTATTTTTTCTTATTTGTAATTAGATAAAAAAACTGATTTTTAATTAAAATATTTTTCTTTTTTATAGCTTCAAATTTGTCTTTATCATCCTCATCCAAATCAATCTCATCGATATACACGTCAAATAATTCGAATAACTAATCAAACAACATGTCGAGAAGTTTTAACACATTATATACCGGAACCAAATACAGCTCGACTTGTTGAAACATGTCTTGGATTTGGTATTATATTTAAATTTTATATTTCTTTTTTTTGGAGAGAGAAAGAGTTTCTTAAGATAAATAAACAATTAGAAAAAAAAAACAACCTTGACATAATTCTTTTTCTTTTTTTTTTTGAACAGATTTGTAAGAGATAATGTCGAATAAATTTGTTTATTTATCTAGAACGAGAGATTCCACCGGGTGATTGTTTATTCGATGTAATTACTCGCAATCAAGCCATTGAAGAATTCAAAATTGTTGTACGACGTTTACACGGTACGTTTAACAGTTCTCTGTTCTTACTAAGAAATAACTTTGATCAACTATTACATCAAACATAAAAGAAACAATAAGTAAAAGCTTTTTCTTTTTTTTTTCTTTTTCTTCTCTCAAGTGAATTCCTGCTCTTCGATTGAACATAGAATTTATTGTTCTTTCCTTTTTTTCTCTTCTACATTATGATCGTCGTCATCGAACATAAGACCAGTAGCATTTATGTATATTCGAAGTGAATGAACGACGAGAGAAGAAATGGGAAGAAAATGTTTGACCCTTCTATCGTTGTCGTTCTATGTACATTTACCTTGTTCTTCTTCTTCTATTTTTTGAGACAACAACAACAACAACAATAACCATAATCATCATCATCATCATCGACGACGAACAACGATGCGTTCTCCAACTCTAAATAATAATAATTCATCACCACACGAGATAAACAATAATCAACAACAACAACAACAACAACAAACTAATGGAAATGGAGTAATACATAGATAATATTTCATATATATAAATTATTTTTTGTTTTCTTATATTTTAGTTTGCTATTAGTAGTTTATCAATGGATTTATCATTATCGGAATTACAAGAAATGGCAGCACGACAACAACAACAAATAGAACATAATCAACAATTATTACTTGCACGTGAACAACGTTTAAAATATCTTAAACAACAAGAATTAAAACAACAACAAACATCACATGATAGTTTACGTCTTAAACGTTTAAAAGAACATATTGAACAACAAGAACTTAAACATTTACGTTTAAAAACTCTTCAAAATCAAATAAGTCAACAAAGAAATTCAAATTCAACACTTGGTTTGTTTAAAATAAAAAAAAAAAATAATAAAATTAAACTTTTTATTTTTGTTTTTAGCAAATGAATTAGAAATATTAAAACAAATATTTTTTGATAAAGAACATGAATTAACAGTAGCATTAAATAAAGTTGATGAATTAACAAAACAACTTGATCAATTAAGAAAAATAAAAATAACAACAAATAAAGAACAATCACAAAATAAAAATGAATTAGATAAATTAAAACAAGAATTAATGGTAAATAAGATAAATTTACTTTTTAAATAAAAACAAAATTTTTCTTTTTGTTTTTATAGATTCGAAATAAATTAAATGAACAACAAAGTCGAAAAATAGCTTATCAACGTGAAGTTTATGCATCAAAACAAGCTGAATTAAATCAATTAGATCGTCGTATAGAAGAACTTCAACAACGTTTAAAAAAAAAACGTACATTAACATCAAATCGTACAACAATATCAACACCATCAACAACAACAACAACAACAACCACAACAGCAGTTGTTGAACCTTTTACATCAACAACTGGTTATCGTACTGCTTTTGATACTGTACAAGATACTTTAAATAATGTTAAAATTGCTGAAATTGAAAAACGTATGGTACAATTAGCAAATTCATTTAATGCTACATCATCATCATCATCACCAACAAATATTAATGAACAAATTAATAATACAAATAGTCCAAAAAAGGTTTGTTCGATTTTAACTAAAAGAAAATATCAATATTATTATTTTATTATCTTTAAGAGAATTTCTATTCTTTTAAACTTCAATTGAAGTGTTTATTATATACTAATAAGAGATTATATTCAAGTGTTTAGAAAAGAAATTTAAAAAAAAAACATTCGAAAGAGTTTATAGCCTTCAAAATGTATTTAATCGAAGTCTACTTGACACACACACACAAAAAAAAAGAATTTTTATAATCATAGTTTTATTTTTCTTTGGTTGATTATTCAACGATTGAAGTGAACTTAATCAAATAGATGATCCATACTTCTTTGTTTATATAAAATTCAGAGATTACACAATCATATATTTTATTTGTGTATGTTAAACTAAAATATCTTTAATACCCTCAATTCATTTAAGAAGAACTTTTCGACAATATTACCTAAAATTACTACAAGTTGAATATATCTACTTAACGTGCTCGTTAAGATATTGCACTATGGAATGTATGACTACTAGAACAATTGAAATGTGTTGTTGTTGTACTCTGAATACTTTTATTTTGCACGAGTTAATTGCGATTGATCTTCGAGTACCAGACTAGTACATAAACATTGTTGCCAGACTTGGCTTTATCTTGTCAATCGAATAAAGGACACTTATTCGACTGTAATTCTATTTGATAAAATATTTATTTTCATGATCTATTATTATTATTAATAGTGAACAAAAAACAATGAAAAATATTGTCCTCTTTGTTTTTTGTTAATGTGTTAGACTAATGGTATTTCATCATCAAATCAACAATCTAAAATCGCATTTGCATCAAAAAGTGAAATAGCAGCAACATATATGGCTCGTACATCAAATCAATCAATATCTCCATCATTATTAAATAAAAAAGCTACAGATATAATTGATAGTACAACTAAAAATGAACAACAATTATTACCACCTAATCTTCGTTTAAATGATGATATACTTTCTGTACATTTTAATAATGTAACATCAACAATAAAAAAACGTCATTCATTATCAGATCCAGCTGATTCATTAATTAAATATCTTTCATCAAATGTTACATCAAATAATAATAATAATATACAATCTCAAGCAATTCAAGTTCGTGATGATTCATCAAATCAATTATTAACTGATACTAAAATTTCACCTGTACCAACAGTTGTTGCTTATGAAAATCTTATTGATATACAAACAAATCTTAATAATAAAATTGATGAAGAACAACAAATTCAACGTGAAGAACAACAAATAATGATTGAATCAATTGTTTCTGATAGTGAATCTGAAGGTGAACATTCAGATGATTTTGAACCAGCTATATCAACACCAACAACAATAACAACATTTACTATGAATCTTAAATCTTTATTAAAAACTTCAACAACACCAAAAAATTTAACAAGACGTGTTATGTTTGATCCATTAGCACTTCTTCTTGATGCTGCTGTTGTTGGAGAACTTGATCTTGTTATGAAAGCAGCAAAAGAGGTTAATTAAATTTTGCAAAAATAAATATTCATTTTTTGTTTTAAACTTCTAAATTATTTATTTATTTTTTTTTTGTTAAGGTTGAAAATCCAAGTCAACCAAATGATGAAGGTTTAACAGCATTACATAATGCTGTATGTGCATCAAATTTTGAATGTGTAAAATTTTTAGTTGAATTTGGTTGTGATATTAATTTTGCTGATAATGATGGATGGACACCATTACATTGTGCTGCATCATGTAATAATACACCAATGGTTCAATTTTTAGTTGAACATGGAGCTTGTATTTATGCAACAACTATTCGAGATAATGAAACAGCTGCTGAAAAATGTGAAGAAGAAGAAGAAAATTATGCTACTTGTTCACAATATCTTTTATGTAAGTTATTTACAAATATAATTATTTAACGAAAGAAATTGAATTTGTAAGAAATTTATTAGTTTTCATATAGAAATTTTTCTTTTTTTTTGGAAAAAAAACCTTTGGTAGCTCATTGATAATATGATTTTAATACATTAATATGTAGACATGACAAAAAAGAAAGTTTTTAATGTAATCTATCACTTTCGAATCAAATATATATATCGTTAGATTAATGTCTCCCTTTTCTTTTGTTGTCAATATATAAAAACTGTTTAGAATCCAATATATGTTAATTATTCAGATCAATAAGATACATGATTTCAGTATCGTATATCATTGATCATTTTTAAATATTATTGACAATAGTAACCTATGAATCGATTGAACAATCATTTCAACTTTCTCTAATGTAGACATCATCGAAATCGCTCAAAAATCTCATTTTGCGGAGGTGCTCACTATTAAAAGATTTTTTTAGCTTCTTTTTTCTTTTGCAACGTATTAACAGTGAGTTACAATCGCTTGTCAGTTACATAAAATTGAATGTGCAATGCTGGTGTTAATACTGACATTTTGCATTTGCTGCAATATTGAGACATCAACTCAACAAAAACATGACCTTTTTATAGCGATGTGTTCTAGTGCTTCAGCAGATATGAGTGCCGATGTGTAATAATTACACTCAGTTAATCTTGTCGATATTAGTAAACTGAAACTGTATATCCCTAGAACAAGATGATCGTTTTCCCCTATTCAAAAATTCATTAATTCAGGTTTTTTGGTTAGAAGCGAATTCATACATGCTGATCTGATTTGATTTTACTAGCTATTAACATAAAAGTGACAAAGTGTTACATCAAGTATTGTTGCTGTTGCGTAATATTGAGCTTTTTTTTTTATCTATTAAATATGCACGATTAGACCATTCTTCTTTGTATATATATATCCCATGATTATTGATCATAACTTAATACACATAATACCATTTGTTGTCTTTGTTCCGCCCCTAAGTGATAGAACATATGCTGTTGGTAATACAGAAGAGATTACCATTTTTTATAGGGCCATAAAGAGATATTTACATAGAGATGTTTTTCGAATCTGAAAATTATTTTACAGAAACAAATCATACATTCTAGAAAGTCCATACGCCAATAATAACATACGTTTTTCGTCAGTTGACGCTTTTATAGTTTTGATTGAAAAAGGTACTATCATCATTCAAGTAAATAGCGATTGGCTATACAATATACTTATTCAATAAAGGATTTTCATTCTCTTTGTAACTAATATTTGCTAAATACTTGAATAACAGACGTTTCTTCAGCAAAATCAAACAAAAAATGAATATTTATTTGATCAATTAATATTAGTATTATGAATATTTTCTAAATTTAGATGTACAAAATGATTTGGGTGTAATAAATAATGGTATCGTTTATGGTTTATATGATTTTGAACCCAGTAATACATCAAATGACTCCAATAATAATGAACTTGCATTCAAAGATGGTGATCAATTAAGAATATTAAGACGTGGTGATGAAAATGAAAATGAATGGTGGTGGTCTAAACATGAAACTACACAACAAGAAGGATATGTACCACGAAATTATCTTGGAGTATGTCATGATAAGTTTCTTTCTTAAAATTTTTGTCTTTAATTTTATTTTCATTTAGCTTTATCCAAGAGTACGACCAGGCTCAATGGCTTCAACTAGTTGTTAGCATCTTTAATTGCTGTGCTTTTTTTTTTCTCTTCTTTTTGTCTCTATAATTCTCAGGATATCTTTTGTTTTTTTTTTTTGTATAAATATTAATGATGATGTGCTCATTTTTTTTTTCTAAATATTAGTTGTGACAAACATCATTTTCTTTGTGCATAATTGAATTTTTTTCTTTTTTTGTTTGTTTATTGGTTTGGTTGTTTTCTTTTTTACTTCAATCAAAACTCTAATAAAGAAATATTTACGGAAGAAAAAAGTTTTTAATATTTGTTTTGTCTTTTGTTTTTTTTTTTCTATGAAATAAATCTTTATAGAAATTATAAAAAAGAAAAAAGTAACAATGAGAAAAGAAATAACAATAAAACAAGATGATTTTTGGCGTTTAATCAATCGAGAATCGTTTCTTTTACGATGCTTTGATGCTTATCTACAATATCGTATATGTATGTATTTCGATTTCTTTTTTTTTTTTTTTTCTTAAGTTAATAAAAGAAATTAATTCTATTATTATTCAGCTGCAACAAATAACGAATACATTTATGTACAAGTTAACTGTATTGATAAAACTATCGGTGAACATGCTGAAGTAAGCCTTTGAATTTTCTGTTGTTTTTTTAGAAACAAAACATATGTTAAATATCATTTTTTTTTTTGTTTTGTGTAGCAATATATTTTATCTTATCTTGAACCAAAACATACAAAATCAATACCCTATCCATTAGAATATAAACAAATATTATGTGATGATGAGTTATTGAATCGTTTAATGAAAGAATATTTAGTTCATATTGAAATTGAAGATAAAACTGATACATCAATGCTTACATTTCATTCAACTACATTAACTGTTTTATTTTTGGCAATAGATGATTTTCGAAAAGCTATATCAAATGTTCTCGCATCAGATAAATCTATAATAATGGATACACAATCAGTATTGGAATCTTTGTCAAATAATTTTGAAAGTCAATTAACAACAGTTGATCAACAAGATCAATTTGATGAACAAGAAAAAGCTTTAATACCAATGAAAAATAGAATAATAAAAAACGATAATAATGATCATGAACAACAACAAGACGAAAGTCTTCTTTTTTCTTCTGTTCGACAAGAACCAAAATTGAAAATTCCTTTTCCCGGTGCTGAGTCAGTTACAAATTTTATTTTTTGAAATGAAGCGAGAAAAAACAACAGATTTTTTTTCTCCTTGAACTTTTAGGCCAGGAGCTCGTGAAACTGCTTTAAATGAATTTATTGTTAAACCAAAAAAACAAAATATACATTCTCGTCATCATAATCATCGTCAACAAATGTCGGATATTAATGATAATGATCTTGTACGTGAAATGCGTCAAAAATTAAAAGGACGAACTTTACGTGATGTTATTATTGATGGAGCAAATATTGGAAGAACGTACGTTTTTAATTGTACTTTACTTTTTAAGTCGATGACGAGGGCGCCTAAAGACCGATTTTGACCTACCCATTTTCTTTATCACAAGAGAACATTAAATTATCAAGTTTAGTAGTGCTGGTGCTGACGAATCTAAACAATTATAGATGTTAACGCGAAGTCTTCAGTTAGAAGTACTTATGTTCCTTACAAGCTTAACCATCACTATAACATTTCTTCGTGTTGCGAGTTAACAAGACAAAATTCTCTTCTATGATAGAATCATAACGCTATGAACTCACTGAAAATGTGATCAATAGAGCATAACTTTGACTGCATTCTGGTAGAAAAGCTTTAAATAAATGACCTTTCGTTGAGTTAAGAATGGGTGAGCAACAATGTTTGAGCAGTATAAATCAATAGATTTATACTTACTAGATGATCTTGAGAGTCTTATATCTCAGAAAATAAAACTGATCATGTTGCCAACATATCAGTATTAATAGAGTAATGACAGGTTACAACAACATTTATAAAATTTTCAGGAAAAAAAAATATGGCTACATATTTGTAGTCGACACGCGTTGGTTTGGATAGGTAAAAGTGGCCATTTTTTTTGGAATTTTTTCCTCAGATTCGTTACTTTTCTAGTCAAAATAAATAGCATATTTTGAATTAACATAAACAACTAAGTTGATCTACATGCGTTTGAAATACTTCGGACAACCTATATTATCATCAAAAAAAGCTACTTCTAGTCTACCTCAGAGTTCAGCTACAAAGTGAGGTTAAGCATAACGGCATTCTCATTGCATAGTAATCTTCTTTCTTGACTGATCCTTAAGAGAATTAATTCAAAATAAGCTATTTATTTGACTAGAAAAGTAAGGAATCTGAGACAAAATCGCCACTTTTACCTATCCGAACTAACGGGTCTCAACTACGAACATATGATCATACTTTTTCCTTGAACAAATAATACACGTTTTTGTAACTTACCATGTACTCTACTAGTACTGATATGTTGACAACATGTTCAGTTTTATTTTCTGAAATATAAGACTCTCAAAATCATGTAGTAACCATAAATCCATCCATTTGAATTGCTCAAATTTTCTTACTCATCGACTTTCATCTCAACGAAAGGTCATTAATCAAATATTTTCCTACTGAAATGCGGTCCAAGTCATGCTCTATTGATCACATTATAAGTGAGTTCATTGGCTTGCGACTACATTTCAGAAGAAAAATTTGTTTTTTTTGTTAGCTTACGGTACAAACAAGTCTTACGATGATAGTCAAGCGTGTAAGGAACATAAGCGCTCCAAATTCTGAGGCTTCACGACAACATCTAGATAAGATTAGATCTACCAGCACAAACGCTAGAAAAATTGATAATTTTAATATTCTTTTCTGATAAAAGAAAATAGACGGATCAAAGCAGATCCTTATCCACTTTCATTCTTTCTCTTATTATTTTCTTTAGATATGGAGATTCTGAATTTTCTGCACGTGGTATTAAATTAGCTGTTGATTTATTTCAATCATATGGTTATCCTGATTCAAAAATTGTTGTTATTTTACCAGCACATTATTTATCAAAAGATAAAGAACATGTTTTTCCTGATTTGATTCGTCGAAAAATAGTTCATAAAGCATTTCAACAAAAAATTGATGATAAAAATAAACGATTTTATGATGATAGGTAAAATAACAGGGTTTTATTAAAAAATGAGAATAAATTTCCTTTTTCTTTTCTGTTTTTCTTGTCTTTAATGAAAGATTAATTGTTGATGTGGCTGTAGTACGTAATGGTATTATTCTATCGAATGATTTCTATCGTGATTTATTTCAAGATTCAGGTGATGCTGTACGAAAAGCTATACGAGAAAGGTAATTTAATTGTTTTTTAAATGAAAAAATTATATATTAAAATGTGATAATTATGTTTTTTTGTTTCTAGATTATTATGTTATCGATTTATTGGAGATAATTTATGTTTACCTAATCCAGTATCTGAAGGAGGATTACCACTTGATCGATTTCTATCTATGTGAATTTTTCATAGGCTCTTATTTTGTTTATTTATAAATAAAATTATTTTTACATACTCCGTTCAGACGGTTTTTATTCATCAGAAAATATATCTTTTTTCTCCTATTTTTCTTTTAATCAAAAAAGAAAATACTTAAACTTGTAAATTATTTTTTCCTTTTAAGCAATATTTTCTATAGGACGATGTCTAAATGTATGATAAGCAACTAATGGTGATGATTCACCTTTAGTTAATGTAGATTGATGTTGAATAAGTGTATTATTTGCATTTGACATCGCCTACTGAACGGTTTCAGAAGATGGTTGTACAGGAGATTGATAAGATAGAATAGTTTGAGGTTGTACAGGCGATAGATAAGGTAGAACAGTTTGAGGTCGTGCAGGCGATTGATAAGGTAGAACAGTTTGAGGTTGTACAGGTGATTGATATGGTAGAACAGTTCGAGGTTGTACAGGCGATTGATAAGGTAGAACAGTTTGAGGTCGTATAGGCGATTGATAAGATAGAACAGTTCGAGGTTGTACAGGAGATTGGTAAGAAGGAACAATAGAAGCTTGTGTAGGAACCCGATAAGCAGAAACTGTTGTAGGTTGTGCAGGCGATTGATTAAGAAAAATGGTTGAAGGTTGTTGAGGATTTTGAGGAAGAAGGACAGCTGATGGTAATCGAGGAGATTGAGGAATTAGAACAGCTGAAAGTTGTCGAGGAGATGGACGAAGTAGAACGGTTGAAGATAGTCGAGGAGATTGCTGAGGAAGAACGGCTGAAAGTTGTCGAGAAGGTTGATGAAGAGAAACGACTGAAGATTGTTGAGGATGTTCATCTGAAGAATCGGGTGAAATTTGTGGTGGACCAAAAGGAGCTAGTCTTTGTCGTACTTTTATACGATTTCCTAGTGAAGCAGTGGAATTTTCTGTTGTATTTGTATTCATTTCGAAAGTATGTTGCTGTGAATTAAATAGAAATGATTCATTATTTAGTGTTGAATCTCTTGGAGGCATAAGTCTTACTGTATTAGGTCTATTCCAAAAAGGATTTATCTTGTTTTTTCGTAGTAATGGAATTGGAGTTCCTAATCTTGGTACATATGATTCAGTGTCCATCTGTTCATTACTTTTTTGTTCCTCATCTGATAGAACTTCGTCATCATCATAATCATCATTATCATCATAATCATCATAATCATCATTAGATGGATTTAGTCTCATTGGCATAGTTGATGATGCTTTTTCATACCATATTTTACTTGGTGTAGGTGTACGAGCTTTAACTAATACTTCTTCATTAAAATTCACTGATTTAATAGCGGGTAATGGTTGTCGTTGTAAAAACATATGTCTTTCTGTTCTTCGTTTTTCATCAGGATTAGTTTTTTTTAATGCACTTTTTACATAAGATGGTGTAGGTGGTGCAGTAATCATAATATTAGGAGGAGTTCTCATTATTGGATAACTTCCATTATCATATAATCGTTCAATAGGAATATGATTAGATGGTAAAACACTCCTGGATGGTTGTGCACAACCCATTATTACCAAATAAATACCCATATGATATGAAAATGAACAATTGAAAACTAGAAATATATATAAATAACAAAAAGAAATCAATTAAACATTTTAAAATACTTTTTCATATAACAAAACATTGAAAAGCAGACAAGATAAAAGCTTCCAAATCATAAAATTATTTTCTTAAATATCATAATAACTAGTTTTCAGAGACTAACTCAATATAACACTTATAAGAAAATAAATCGTTTTCCATTGAAGAATTTTAATAGATAAGAATAAGATGTAATCATATAATAAATCATGATTTCTTTTTTCTCTTTACTAACACAATATCTTTATAATCGCTATGGTTTTTTTGTCATCTACTAAGTAACAATAATGAATCAAACTTATTTAAATTCCACACTATGATATAGAAGAATATATATATAATTTATTTTACTTACCGACATTTGTTTTTTATTGATATAGAATATTCTTATTTACTATTATGATGAATCGAAGTGTCTATGTAGAGTTATATGTATAGTAATGACATCGAACATGATTAAAAGATGTTGTAAAAGAAGAAAAAAAAGTCACTTGTTGTACTTAATTTATTCTTTTCTCGTCTTCAATAGTAACAACGACGAAATGCAATCTTAATTGAATTACAATGCAAATGAAAGAAGAAGAAAAAAAAAAGAAAATAAAATTCACATCGAAGTCAAAAGAATTTTCTCTTATAAAATAAAAACAAAAGAAACATGTTTGAGCTCAACAATACAGAATATAAAATAAACATAATTCTCTTTTCTTCTGTTTATTTAATATGTTTTTGAAGTTGATTATGCACCTAAACTAACTTTAATCATAAAAGTTCAATGAAATTAATTGTTTTTTTTTTATTGTTTTCTAAGATGATAAAGATTAAGTTTCTTTTTGTATTATTATTTGTATTAAAAAATGATGGTCGCTTGTTACGATATCAACGACAACGACACCATTCTCCATCACCATCCGAAAAATATCGTATTTCACCAACAACCGGTGTACGTATTGCTTTACCTAGTAAGTAATTATTTTTCCTTTCTACAATTGTATAAAACTTGTAATTATTTTCTAGCACCTGAACAACTTACTTGGCAAGCTCAAGAATTAGGAGTCTTAATATCTTTTAATATAGCTACTTATTTAAGTAATGATGGATGTACAGATCAAATCGTTCCAAACATTTCTTTATTTAATCCATATCTATTAAATACAGCAAATTGGGTTCAAACTATGCTTGATTTTGGTGCTAAATATGCTGTACTTGTTGCAAAAGTAAAAAAAAAAAGTGTAGATATATTTTTTTTCTAATGTTTTTTGTATATTTGATAATGAATAGCATGCATGTGGTTTTCTTATGGCACCTTCAGATGTCAAATTTCCATTGAATCCATCAGGTGAAATTATTTCATATAATTATACGGTTGATTATTCACCAGTGAAAGGCATAAATGTACTTAATGAATTTATTAAAAGTTGTAAAAAAAAACAAATACGCACTGGATTTTATTATACAGTAATGGTTAATAATTGGCTTAATGTCGACAGTGGTTTTGTGAGTTAATGTTCTTTTTCATTATCTTTCAGTATTTTACGGATCTACAAAAATTGATCGATGTGAAAAATAGTCGAGAAATTTATAACAAAAGTAAAACAACGTTTTTTTTTAAATAAAATCTTTCAGTTGTATGAACAATTAAACAATATCAGTTTATAAATTATCTGTAGCTTGTGATAACTTCATGTAAAAGGAAAGAGTTGATGTAGTATGGGCGTTGCCATGTGTTTTCTTGCATGTTCCACACTCTAACAGCTATATTACACTCTCATAATGATCTTTTTAGCTATCTCCACTTTTCTATGAGAATTATTTTTGATATAACTTTCTAAAAATCTGTAGACTGAACAATTTTAATTTTGAGAAGAAATTTCTTTCTTTTGTTATTAATTTAACTCATTCATCTGATTGAGAAAAGTTCCGTTACTGATTCCGAGTTTTTGACTTGATCTCTTGGCTATAAGTAGGTTTAAAAAAGATTAAGACAACTCTGAAAATGTTCATGCTTATGACTGTTGATTAAAAACTGCAGCCGTTTTAGTCGATTTTCAACCTAGCGCATAGTATCTACAGAAAAGTTAAATGAAAGTATTTCTATTTGAAGTTCTGTCGATAAACTGGTCTAATGATTTCTAGCATGTACGAAAGTTTTTAGTCAAAACAGAGATTTCCTATTCGCGATATTGAATTTTCAAAAAAATGTCCTTTGATAACAGACTGGACACAATACTGGAGGTGCCCTGCGAATTCTGTATCTTAGAAAAAAAAATATCTGTTTTCACTGAAAATCTTAGTACTTTTTAGAAATTATGAGACTAGTTCATTAACAGAATCTCAGATCAAAATATCTTGATTTGATTAGTCTGTAGATACTGTGCGCTAGGTCGAAAATCGACGAAAACGGCTGTAGCTTTTAATCAACAAGCCATAAGTACGAACGTTTTCAAGGTTGTCCTATTCTCATTAAAATCTACTTATATTGAAGAGATGGCCTCAAAAATTCAGAATCAGTTGGAGTATGTCCATCGTGAGTTAAAGCTTTTTTTTTATAAGAAGCGTTTATCTTTTTATTATGAATTTCTCAACCATTTGTCGCTTTCTCGTATTTTATAAATATATTTCTAATGAATATAAAGGTTCAAAATCGCACATTAAAACCAGGTCAAATAAATATTACTCAAGAGACATATGATAATATTGTCGTACAACAATTAAAAGAGTTATGGACAAATTATGGTACTTTAGATGAGATTTGGTTTGATGGAGGGTTAGTTTTATTCATATAAATATGACTCAATTATAAAGTTTTTCATTCTTTTCTGTTGATCTAGATATACAACAACTTTAAAAGATCCAATAACTGCTTTATTAAAAGAACTTCAACCACAAGCAATTGCATTCAATGGTTATGGTGTATCACCAAATCCTGTTCGATGGATTGGTACTGAAATGGGTGTTGCACCTGATCCAAATTGGTCAACAGGAATAACTAATGATGGTGGTGATCCAAATAGTCCAATATTTTGTCCAGCTGAATGTGATACAACTCTTCAAAATGGAGATCGATGGTTTTGGGTATGATTATATTTACAATAATCGATATTATTTTTTTTTTATGATGATCTTTTTATCTAGGGTGTTAATGCAACACTTCGTTCACTTTCTGAATTAATTCAAGTTTATCATGAAACAGTTGGTCGAAATTGTATGTTGATGCTTGATCTTACTCCTGATCGAACAGGTCTCATTCCATCTGCTCATGCACGTCGTTATAAGCAATTAGGTGATTTTATTCGTTCATGTTATGGAACATCTATTTTACCTACGGAACATCTAATGTCTGATGATTCACTTCAATATATTCAATTATTTGTTTCATCACCAGTTACAGTTGATCGTTCAGTTCTTCAAGAAGATCAAACTGATGGTCAAGTTATTCGAGCATATACTATTGATGTAAAATTAGTTAATACAACAAATACTCATCAATGGATGATAGTAGCACAAGGTACAAGTATTGGTAACAAAAAGATTGATATATGGGAAGCAGGACCACAACTTATCAATGCTGTTCGATTAACTATTACAAAAACAGTTGATAAACCTGTGATAAAATCATTTACTGTTCATTTATGTAATTGAAAATAAAATTCGTTTGATTTACTATTCATAAAAGGTCTATTTTTAATTTTTTTATATTTAACACTAACACATATGAAAAAAGTCATGTCTAGCATTGGCAATCATACTCTATAGTAAAAGTACTTATTATCGAAACGGATAAGAGAAATGATTACATGAACTAATATACTAAATGTTTATGAACATAGAGACAATAGAAAAGTAGCTATTAATACTTTGCTTTGAATAATAAGCCATCTCAAAGTATCATTGCGAAGACAAAGTTATAACTGTTCGCATATTGTTATGAAAAATATATTCCTGTGCAAAAAAAAAGACAATCTGAAAACATACAGATAATGACTAATATGTACATATATTCATCTGATTAAGTGTAAATAAGACTTTTCTCAATTAAGTTTTACTGTTATATGCAGATTAGAAATTAAAAAAGATACAATGAAAACAATCATCATCAATCTTGTTCATGTAATTATGCTCTCATACATTCGGTGCAAGATTATGGAGTTGATCCGATTGAAATGTCTAATTTAATATGTTCAAATAGAATTAATGAAGAAAAAATGAATATGGAAACCATATTGAAAATCGAAAAACAGGAAAAAGAAAAATTTCGGTGATAAATTTGATCGGAGTTAAATAAAAAATACTTCATAACTTCATTGTAAATCAGTATATATGTCGTGTCGAAGTTAGTGTGAATGATAAAATAAATATCAACTTTCAAGAAATCAACAATATCTTTCATGTTGTATCTTAAAAATTATTTTTTTCCATCAAAACAATAATATAAAATTTATTTTTCAATATTATGACAAATATACTAGCATTTCAGCAAGAATGAATATTCATTCGACTTGTACTTTTACGTATTTACTGCGATACAGATGAAAAGGAGTTTGGTAGATTGTAAAGATACAACAATCTTCTATGAAACTCTAAGATTATATAATATATTAATAATTTCAACGCAGAAAAAAATTAACATATTATTCCTTTTATTCGTCTGAATATTCGCACGTTTGTCATAATATTGAAAAATAAATTTTGTATTATTGTTTTGATGGAAAAAAATAATTTTTAAGATACAACATGAAAGATATTGTTGATTTTTTGAAAGTTGATATTTATTTTATCATTCACACTAACTTCGACAACATCGTCCGTCGAAGTTGTAACTTCGGCACGACATATATATATAACGTTTCTCTAATATGAAACACATAGATACACAAAATTTATCAATATGACTGCTACTAGATTAGAAGATCTGCCAAATGAACTGTGGCTAGAGCTTTTTGTCTATTTTACTTGGATGCAATTGAGTTCGACATGGCTCGAGTGGAAGCTTAACAGTCGAATTCAAATGTTAGCTCAAATGGCGCAGACTCATGTTGCTTTTGAAATCTCGTCGATGTCGTTTAAAACATATGGTCAATGTTTGTATTATTTCGAACATGAACATCCAACGATGGCTTATCGTATAACTTCTCTTGTGCTCAATGAATCAGTTCTGTCGAATGAAATAGTCAGACGATGGCTTGAAAATGGTTCTTCTTTTTTTCCACGTATTCATCATTGTACGATCTATTTTTATCTCGTCAGTAAATATGTTCAATCAAATATTGTTCGACTCATTCATATAAATGCATTGACATTGCGTCGTATTGTGTTTTATTTCAAGACGGCCGAAGTATATGAACGTATATTGAAACAGATCATTAAACAACGCATCTCTCTGCACACAATGCAACTGATCAGCGTTAGAGGTAATAGAAAAGGTTGTTTGTTTTCAGAAATATTCGTACGTCTTTTTACGAATTTTCTCCTTTCTGATGGTTTTTAAATAAATGAAAGAGTTTGGAATATTTCCATTTGTAAATTTCTATCAATATTAGGTTAGTTCAGTAATCCTACTGTATCTTTTCAATCGAAAAAGAATATCATAGAAAACAGAAATAATATAAAAATAATTCTATGAAGACAAATGAGATTTTTAAAATAGAGAATGTGTCTATTACTATTTAACAATTTATAATTTCGTAGAATTGTCCTTAAATAAGTAGATCAACAATGTATCCAACGCAAACGATAATGTCACTGTTGATTTGACACCAACAGTTAGAGTTCAATATTCTCGAATCCTCTTGATTAGATTTTTCTTCAAAAAATGTTGCATCGGAACAGTAAATCTATTTCGAATCAAAGCCGATATTCAACATTTTTATAATGAAGTAGGATTGAAGTTGATCAGATTGTATCGAAAGAGGCTAGTTTTTTTACTTGGACAAACGTCTAGGAATAAAAAGTCGAAATGAAAAGAAGGTTACATAACAGGTTTTTCAAAATATTCCGAGTTAACCGTGAGCTCGTTCACCGAATACTACATACATCGATGATCACATATTCTCTTACGGATCTGGAAAAACTAATGTCTAAAATGAATTTCATTCTCCGATTAACTCTAGTCGAATGTGTCTTAAAGTCAAATGTCGAGATGAACAAAAGCTCATCCTTGAACTAATTCCTATGATATGTAGATAAATTACTTGATTTAAATGAACACAATTGTATTTGATCAATTAAAGAATTAGTCTAGATTCTTTTTTGATTGATTTTATAAAGAATTTAGGAATTGATCGAATCAAAAAACTAAGATAGGTAACAAAAATCTTTCCGATTTAACTTTAAACCAAAGTTACTTAAATATATTTAATCATCAATTATCTTTGAGAAATCATTTGATAATAAAACATTAACATCAACCTACTATTCTTTTTTGTCATTACTTGTAGATTATAATCAGATTTGAATTGATGTCAAATTCATCTATCTGTGACAGAACAAGTTATTTTGTGAATCGGTGATGTTGACAAATCGATTTAGAAATTGGAAAATTTAACTTCAGCATTATACTAAATAACAAACTTGAACGATCACTACGTAAAGGATTCTTAGAGATCCAACTTATTTTTATTGAAGATTTCAAAGTTTTCTCAATGAAAAAAAAAACTCAACGTTTCGATGAGATTCAAAACTTTTTAGGTCTAAACCCTTCAAAAGTGTTGATTTGAATATCTGAGGATTGATATTGTTTTCTGATGTGGTCAAGTTAACTTAAGCATTAAAAGAATATAGATAGGAATCAGAGTTGCCAGATCTTCCGAAATAACAGGGAAAATTCCGAATTTCGACCTTTTTTCTGTAGGCTTTCCGAATTCGACTGTTTCTTCCGAATTCTGAGATTTTCTAGATTTTGCTATTACTATAAGATTTATTGGTCAGTAATGTGTCATCTCTTTTCTTCCAAAACAATTAGATAGTCTATTATTTTAAGGTCGATACAGTACTATACTATTTACATCTTATTTCGAATCATAAATCTGACAGAATATGAAGTAAATTAAATATCTAATATTTAGGAAAAAAAACTAATAGAAAGAATAGATTTTCTACTGGAAAAGCTGAATTACAAGTTCAAGAGACGGTGGTACTTTATTTAATAGTTCTTAAGTTTCAGATTTAACGGTGGATAATGAATCAAGTGATTCACATATGAGTATCAGTTCAATTGAAGAAGATGAAAGAGAACTCCTAGCCACAAGAAGTGAAAAATGATAAATCAAAAGCTCGATGTAAAGCATGTTTAAAGTCATTCAGTGTCCGATACGACAGTAAAGTATCTTTAAAAAGATATGAATATTGATTTTCATAAAACATGTACAAAATCCTTTTCGAACAACTCAATGAATATTCTTCTTTTACCTTCACCGAGTGAAGTAGAAAAAGTTTCAGTAACAGAAGCCGCATTTGTGTATCGTGGTGTTCGACAAAATTTGTTGAAAACTATAGCAACAAATGATAAATTCGACGAGAAAAAGTGTACTTTTAATTGATGATACTTAGTTTTATTGTAAACAAGCGTTTTGAACTGCACAGTATTTGCATATATCTACATACATGGTTCCCGATTGTTTTGAAAAGTGGAGGGGGCTAAAAATTTGGCAGAAAGTGCCTTCATAGGACTTTCTGGCATAAGCAAGCAGAAAGTACTAAAATTACAGACTTTCTTCCAGATTTCATCAGTAAAAGATGTTTTTGTTTGACTTTGTCAGAAAAATGGCACAGAAAGCTTAAAAACTAGATTTTTGACGCAGTTTTTGAGAAAACTTTCAAAAGTTTCGGAAAAAGTTTTTTAAATTTTGCCAGAAAGTCATACATGTTTTTAAATTTTGCGGGGGGCTAGACCCTCCAGCTCCCCCTAATCGGTAAGCCTGTCTACATATGTAAATACTTTGTGTAGTTCTTTTCTCAATCGCCTTCATTTTCAGGAGACTAATTAGTTTTAATAGGGAAACAACTGTTCTACTGTTTTTGTACTCTGAGTAAATTGTATAAGAATAAATAATGGTTCATGTAGGCAGAACTTTCCTCACAAGAAAACAGTCAAATTATACTTCCAAATTTTTAAAAAATGTGATTTCGGAATTTTTCCGAATCTGTTGAAAAAAATTCCGAATTTTGGTATAGAAATTTCCGATTTTTAACTTTTTAATCTGGCAACCCTGATAAGAATTAATTTTTTCACTGAGATTTTGAGCAACCTACAGAATATTTAATGTAGAAAATGAGCAGAAGATATAGCAAACCTTTCAATGATATTGACACATGTCTAAACGAAGCCACTTGAATACATTAACTGGTTTGAGAGAAACTAATTGAACTTCCTGCAGTTCGTTCTACTTGAATAACTCTTCTTTTGATTAAAAAAAAAAACTCAGAGAAATATATTTTTATCCAAAAGTGTAAGTTGAAAATTTGGCTAATTTTCGAGGTTTTTTCTGAAAAGGTGAAATTGAAGTGAAAAATTGTCTGATTACTTATCATTTCGAAAAATATCTAGAATAAACATCTGCTGTAAATATGTTATGCAAGATATAACGTGTCGAAATGTGTATTTTGAATACGTATTAACAGAAGATTTTTGAAAATTAATCTGATTGAGATCTATCTAAGAAGAGAGAATTTGAAAGGATAATGTTGTTTTGCTCTTTTGAAAGTTGTTCAAAAATTTAGTCAGTTTTGCATTGATCAAACGTCCTTGTTTGAAGTTAACAAAGCGTATCATTTGAAAAAAAATCTTCTAAAGGCTCTATAAGTAGTTTCGATAAGAGTCTAGTTTCCACCAATGTGATCAAAGGAACGATTTATATCAAAACTTTAGTTTCAGTTTGTATACAGTAAGAAACAAACTTTTTTTTTCTTTATGCTAGATCAATCTTCAAATACTCGTTATTTCAAATGACTGTTTCTTGCTAAGTAAAGGAATATCCATTATTTACGATTGATCTTTTTTTTTGTTCTAGATGATGAATATTATTATTTGTCGAATGATTTAAACGAATATGTCACCTATCATCGTCAACTTCTCACATTTCCTAACACTGTTCGTTTGCATCTCTCATTACAACGAATATCTGATTTGACATTACTTGTACAGCACGACACTTTACCGCGCATAGAACATCTCCATCTTACACTGGAAAAGTCAGTAAATGCTCTGTATCAATTGCACAACCGATATGAAGATTCGTCTTGTTCTACATTGTGTCCAAAAGATTTCAACTCAAGTCGAGCCAATTTACCACATTTACGCACATTACATTTGCAACAAGTGTCTATCAGTGATGTTATTGTATTAATGCAACATCTGACATCAATGAGTCAACTTGAATCACTCATTTTAGTGAATTGTAATGTCAAAGGTATATATAGACACTAGAATACTGAGGGTATCTGTCATTTTAATTGATAAAATCTCTCTTTGTTTTTTATATGCAGATAAGAATGAACTAATTACGTTCAAAAGTAGCATTAAAACTTTTTTGGTCTGTCTACGTCATCTTCACTTTGTGCTTTATCTACCTATTGAGACAAAGCTTGAGACGATTGACCTTTACTGGTTTGACTTGAATCATCGTACCGTTGAATATGAGATAGACGAAGTGATGTTACTTTACACGGTTCCATATCTATTAAACCATCAACGACAAGTGCATAATCATACATTTGGACGACGATTGACAATCAATAATAAGATCAATCATATTCAATGGGTAGTTGATCGTGATCCTTTATCGATCAACACTACTCTTACTCAGTTTCAACATGTTAATTCGCTCGAGTTATATTATGATATTAAAGTAAGTAATAAGCGTAACTCTATTGACAATCTCACCGATTTTGAATTGTTTAGGAAATAAATCCAAATCCATGTTCATGGTGTCTAATACTTCCAGTTTTGCATTATGTTGAAATTAATTTTGATTGGAGTCCAATGAGAGCTAAGAGATTGAATGATTGGTCTTTTACACCGATTCATCATCGTTGTATTATTCTCGATCAACTTCGTCAATGTGCTCCTTCACTTCAATGTCTGACATTATGGTGGCATGATGTTCGACTTCTTCTTAAACATTCTAATTCACCTTGGCCTTCCATTCAACAATTAAATATTCTTTTGAGAACACACACAAAGGACAATCCATCTGCATCTCTGATCAGACGTTTGCCAACGATCAAAGCCTTTCCTCAATTGCGATATCTTTCATTAGGTGCTCGTCGTTTTTTGCTCACACCACCAGAACTGGCTGCTGAACGGATTCTATCATGGGTCGATGCTCTCGTATTCTCTTCGTCAAAATTAGTCATCTTACATGTGAATAAAAACTGTCCTTATTTTCGAACTCTATCCTCAACATCTCATGACATGCTTATGATGCTTCTCAAGCAACATGTTCGTTTGAGAGACTATCATCATCCATCGGCAAAAATAATTATCAATTCAAATGAAGAAGTTATTATTTGGCTTTAAATTGAAATTGTTCTTGAGATAAAATATCTCTCTTCTGTATTCGTTTGAAAATCATCTATTAAAAGAAATAAATATACGTAGTTCTGTTTATGCTAACTTGAATCTGACTCGAAGAAAACTCAAAACAATCAATGAATTCGTGTACTTTTAATTAATCGATTTTCAATCATAAAATAGTTCTGTAGAATAAATACTTTTAATCATTTTCTACTAGAAGAGAAGATTGAAAGATGAAATGTTCTCTTCTTAAATTTGTTTGTAGAGTTCCATAACTATAACGAACTGACGTGAGTCATCTTTCAACTTGAATTCTTTTTTTTGTAGCTATCAGGATTATCGAAAATTATCCACAATGGATTGGATATCTTCGTTTGACTTTGGTTAAGATTTTGTTAAATATCCTTGTATCTCTTGTTAGTCTCATGGGATACATATGTCGGTTCTTATTTGTGAACATATTTTTCAAATGTGATCCTTAAAAGATTTTTTAATTAAAATTTCATCAAGATATTATGTTCATTTTCATTTGTTAATCTTATTGAATATCATCAGCAGAACATCAATTGTCTGACATTTCAAACAAATTAATTATTTAAGTTTCATTGTTGATGTTTTGACATTTAATAACATGTGATTGTCGATTATCTAAGTAAAATTGACATTGAAGATCTCATATCTAAGATTGAATAGTGAAAGTTGAATTATTGATTAGAATTGAATGAATTATCAGTGATGATTCAAAAATCTATTTGACTTCAATTTTCTGCCATTTTTGTATTTGTGTATTTCGATGCATTCAATATTTTTTTAACCTTTTCAAAATGACACAACATCCTACGCACTCTGGTTTCAAATGAATAAAATATTTCGATTATGTTTCAAGAAATTGTTTAATAAGAATTTGAAATTTAATATTGAATGTCTAGAAAATAAAGAAATATATATATGTGTTTTTTATATAATTTAAATCATTCTTTTAGTTCATAACAGTCAAAGTTACATTTATTTCATGCTTTGAATTTTTTTTTTCTTTATTGTTTTTAATTATTTATTCTGTTAACAGCATTAACTTCATTAAAAGATTAATATATTTAAAAAGAAAAAAATCCACGATTGTATATTTTATATATTGATAGGAATCGTGAAATAGAAAGGATAATATCCAGTTAAAAAGACAATTTAAGGAAGATGAAGTTGAAAGAAACGATTATGAAAATTCAACTATGAATGAAAGGATGACATGGTACAACGAATAGATACATATTAATAATTATACTTCACAATAACAAAATCTTATTTAAATGAATAAAACATTATTTTCCACTATCGAGAGAATTTCAAAAGAAACTTGTAGATATTTCAATTGGTTGAATTTCTTCATAAAATCGAATAAACATTCGAAAATTTTTGGTAAAAAAATAATGAAGTATATTATTTAAGTGACAAAAAAAAATTCCTACACATTCAATGTATTAATTTGTAGTTTAAATTAATGTGTAAAAATATTCCAGATGATTTTGAATTATATTTTTTATTTACTATCATATCGTATGATATTAACAAATATTTTCATACTTACAATAATCGATCATGTTCTATTTACGTGTCTTTGATCCGTATGAAAAAAATATGATCTTAGTTTTCTCTTTTATCTTCGTTCTCAACAATGGTTTAATATCATATCTATATGTTTTTTATATATTCATACTTTTATTTTCATGGATAATATATACGAACAAAAAAAAGCATTGAATATGATTTTATTCCTTTTCAGACTTTTTCTTTTCTATAGTATTTACTATTTGAACAAAGTAAATCAAAGTTAAAAAAACTTACAACAAACATTATAGAGTATTAATAATATTATTAATTCATTCTTTTATCACTTCATTGTGTTTAATAATTTTTTTTTTATTACATAAATATCTCATAGTACGTATTTTGAATGTCTATAGATAGTGAAGAAAACCTTCGAATTTTTCATTTTGAGAAAGGAGAAGGACATGTAAGATCTTTCTTCTAGCGTTAAATATCTCAATTGATTTGTGTTACAAATTGACTCCAATCAGAATCTTAATGATATTTCAAAGATTAATTTTCTCTTATAGCAGTGAAAGATATCATATATTCTTTCATACTACCATAATAAGAAAATTTTCATAGATAGTTTGATTCAGAGGCGGCGGAGCCCTTAGGTCTGGGGAGGCTCAAGCCTCCCCTAAAAAACTTTTGGAGAGGCTTGGGAGGCTCAGATATTTGGAAAAAAATTTACAGACCTCATCGTGATCTCGTGTTTGATTAGAGAACGCGGTTTGAAAAGTTGATGTTTGGTTTTTTCTGAAGGTAATATTCATTTTGATGTTAGATCGCAGGCATATATGATTGTATTTTTTCTTGAAACAGTTTAACACATTATTACTAGCGACTCTTTTATGCAGAGGAATAGTCAACGCACTGAAAATGTTTATGGTGTCGTAGTTTTTTTGTATTTATATCATTAAAAGTTTTGTTATCTTGTCTGATTGACTTTTGAAAGATTTTGAAATAATAAAGAAACAATAATCTTAGAATTTGAGGAAGGTGCAGTTGGAAAAATATGACTTATTATTGAGTAAAGTCAGAAGCGACGGAGCCATTAGGCTTGGGAAGATTTGAGCCTACCCTTAAAAAAGGAAGGGGAGGTTTGGGGAGGCTCAGATATTTGTAAAGATTTTACAAATCTCATCCTGATCTTATATTTAGTAGGTGGAAACTCTTTGACCGAGATTGCGTTCCGTTAGATGCCGGATAGTGCTATAGACAGCCAATCCATTAGTATCCAAAAAACTCAAGCCTCCCATAAAAAATGAAGAAGAATGCTTGAGGAGACTCAATATTTGAGAAACTTTAACGAATCTCATCCAGAGTTTATATTGAATATCCCAAAGATATTATCAATATAATTTATTTTGTATATATCTTTGCATACGCAAATGGTAAAATCTTGAATTTTTTAAAAATATGTTCCGGCGGTGTCTAACAAAACGATCCAAAAAATCCTGTTGATTTGCTCTGATGAATTTTATAAAGCTGAAAGGAAAGGTGTATAAAAGGTTTCTACTTCAGATTATATTGGAGTTAACAAACATATTTGAAATAATATCTGTTTCTCATTTATCTTTGCACCGAAAATTGATAAAGACTTGAATCGCTTTAAAGGTGTACTATTAAACTCTCGGCAATATCCAGAGAAAAATGTTCTCCCGTCATACTGTAATCGATTTAGAGAGAGAAAAAACTAAAGATGTACGAGACACTGGAATTTTTTACCATACCAGTAGAATAAATGCTCCAGAAATGGTTTAATAATTATTAAAGTCAAGCTTTGTCTATAAAAAAAAGCATTACTGAGTAAAATGATACTACTAAAGTAATTTGTTTCCTGTTCAAACATCGCCATTAAAGAATTAAAAGTGAATAATTAGGTGCTTAATCGTTAAAATAGAAGAGCAAAGTCAACTCAGAAGAGTGAAAAATTGTAGCATCTTGTAAGTCGTTGAATTAATCCTGCTCAAAATTGATAAAACTAGTCTGGAGGACATTTTGTTTCTTTAAAAAAACCATTCAAGTTTCCAGAATTTTTGTGCGGAGACTAATGAGAAATAGACATATTGGAGATGTATTAATTACTTCCAATATAATGGACAGTAACAATACTTCATAGATCCTTTCTTTCGCTTTTCTAAAAAACTTTTCAGAACAACTCAACAGATCCTTGTCATGCGGTTGTCTTAAAGAATTGATCAACTTCTACGAATCATTCTTTCGAAATTTTTCTGTAAGTCTTCGTACTCATTTCATCGTCAAATGCAAGAAATCAAAGCAAAGGCAAATGCTTGGTTGGAGGTGAAAGATCACTCTTTCAAATCATATACTTTTTTAAACATGATTGAATTGTATTCTGTGCTATCAAACAGAAGAATTCCGTTTGTTGAATGAATCTAGTAAATACCAAAAAAAGATAAATCACGGAAGATTCGCAAATATAACGGCGAATCTTTTGACGAAATTTCAAGATTACATGGTTTGCCTATACAAAAAAATATATACGAAATATACCCTGATGAAAACATATCGGGACAACTGATCTCTTTAATATGAGTTAGAGTTGAAAAGGTATAAAATCGCCCTTTCCCGTTCATCTCACTCTACTATTACTGCCTGAAAAGTTTTGAGCCTACCCTAAATTAGAGTCGTTCCGCTACCTCTGAGTCCTCTCTCAATCATCGATCGAGATCAGCATGTTCTCAAATGATCAACACTCGAGAAATAGTTTAAAAAAGAAAACTATGTTGAAAATGTATGTTTTGTATGTTCAATGACGTTGTTTATATACGAGTCTGTATGGATAAAAAAAAACGGTGAATGACTATTCAGCAAGTAAACACTAGTAATGTCACTTTTTTACTCAAGATCTTGTAAGAAGATAGTAGTAAACGATATCTTTTCCATGATCTTAACAAGATCTTAGCTAGTGATTTATTCGATAGAACCAAGATTTTCACAGAGAAATTATCTTTTCAAGATCTTATCAAGATCTTGCTTATCGGTCCCAAGATTTCAATGTCTTGTTTACAAGATGTTCGACTAGGGTACACATGAATAAACAAAGATATTTATCAATATCTTCAGTTGAAAGTTAATTATGTCTGAGAGAATATATTGAATAATCCTATACGATTAAACTTCTATCTAATATAAGATCAATTGAATATATTCTCATGAATTAATATATCATGTATTGTTAATTATTTTTAAATATTTTACCTGAAATATATAGTATACCTAGAAAAAAGGAAACCGAATAACTTGAAAGACAGGAATAATATTGAAATAAATCTCATTATGTTCATATAGGATAGACGAAAAGTTTTAGTTCTCATCGTTTCGACCACCTATATTGGATTAGAAGAGTCTAAGAATGAATCTATTTTAGGGGTGTGGGTGTGGGTGTGGGTGTG